GCCGCGTCGCCCCCTACTTGCGCGGCCTCGCCGTCCTGCCCTCCGGCCGGCGCCGCGGCGCGGCGAGGGCGCTGCTGGCGCGCTGCGAGGCGCTCGCGGCGTCGTGGGGCCACGGCGAGATCTGCCTGGACGTGCTGGAGGAGGGCGACGGAGAGACCCAGACACCCTCGAGGCACGAAGAGAGCACCGCTGCCCTCGCCTCGTTCTCGCCGGTGTGGGCCTCCTGGGGGGCCTCCGTCGCCACCGCTCTGTTCGCCCCTGGTGAGAGCGCACCCCGGGAGAGGTCTGGGGAGTCGCTGTATCCGTACCCCAGAGATGCTCTCGACATGCTGGAGGATCTTCAAACGTTTGTGCAGGCGTTTCCTACTAGGCTGTGAGCGCGCCGGATGTCGTATAGGCTGCTCCATTGCTCGGGGTGTTGACGCCACTAGAGTCGAACGCGCCTGATGTCGTGTTGGACTGCTCCGCTATCCGGGTTTTGGACGCCACGAGTTCCCAGAAATATTTGTGGAGAGCTGATTCCCGGGCAGTTGTCGAAGAAGAGACCCGCCGGGCCCTCTTCGAGTCATGAAAACATCGCGGCGGGCGGTGTTTCTCTAAGCTCGGCCTCGGGGGGCCCCCGCCGGTCCTCGGGCCCGTCAAGCAAAGACTCGGGATGAGAAACCTCCCGGGAATGGGTCGAGAGCTCTGGGGGTCGCCGTTGTGAGCAAATCATGACGTCGGGGAGATGTGAAGAAACGTCAGCGACGAAATCCATCGCCGATCAACGATTCGGGCAGCTCGATGGGCGGCGGGGGCAGGGTTCTGAACTCGTCCAAAACGTGGCGAAATTCGAACCATACTCCAGCCTCCCGTCGGGTCAGGAGAATCGAACTCTGGCGGGGGTAGATTCGGATGTCGCCACCTGCAACAACATCTCTGCGCGGATCTCCTGGATCGGCGCTTGGGCCCCCTTGAGGGCGTCTCTGGCGCTGCCCGTGGCGCGCTGCGCGCGCCAGGGAAGAGGGATCCAGCGCTGATCTAATACATCCGCGCGGACCCCCGAGAAACTATTGTTAAAACTATTGATACCTTGTCCCACAGGACCGTCAAGCGAGTAAACCCAGACATGCTCGCGTCGCGGAAGATTTCGGGGCAGGAGATGCTTCCTCGTTTGGGGGCTTCAGAGGTCCCCGCGGGCCCCGGGACCATGAAAAGGCGACTCGGGGTAGAGGAAAGGTCCCTGGGAAGTGGTCGAGCTTTCTGGGGAGCGCGCGCAGCAGAAATCAGGATATTGCATGTCTGGCAGGACGTGATGGAGTTTTACGAGCGGATGAGAAGGCACCGATGCCGCTATCCTTGTATCGTTCTCGCTTTGTTGAGTCGCCTGGGAGACCTTCGTCGCCACCTCTCCATTCGCCTCGAAATCCGGGTCAGAGCGCACCCCAGGAGAGGTCTGGGGAGTAGCGGTATCGGTACCTCTTGCGGTTTCCCCAGATTGGAGCCGGAGCCGGCCCGGTACCCAGGCGCGGGCGGGTGGCAATAGGGGGTGACCCAAGTGGGGGGTGAAGGGCAGGGCCCCGGAGGGGCCTTTGAATGCCCCTCGTGGAGCCAGCAGGGGCCCAACTTGGCGTCTCACGGGCCCCTGTAGGGTCCTTTTTCGCCACCCCCCACTGGGGTCACCCCCGTTACCATCGGGGGCGGCAAAGAGGGGGGTGATGACTAGGGGGGGGTGGAGATCATGGCGGGGGCCATGGCGTTTCTTCAGGTTTCATGGCGCCTCCTCTTATTTCATTACGTCCCGGGCCCCCCCGCTGGGCCGCGCACATGCCGCCGGTCATGATTTGCATCACCCCCTCTTGAACACCCCCCTCTTGGCCGCTCCCGATACCACCCGCCCGACAGGCGTGCTGGCGTCATGGAATGTTCGGGGCGGGAGGCGGTTCCTCGTTGGGGTTGGCCCCTGCAGGCCATGTCCGGGCCCCGGGTCCGTGAGAGAAGCGGCGGGGGATGAGAAGCCAGTCTCGGGGGCCCCCAAACGGGGTGGTGACCACACCGTGCGGTGAGTCGGTGGGGATTCGGGGTCACCGCACGGTTTTGGGACTCGGGTCGTTCTCCGAGGATCTCTCGGGCGACAGGGGCCTCAGGGGTCCCAAGACCGTGCGGTGACGGACCGTGCGGTGAGGTCTTGGGGGATCTCGAGGTCACCGCACGGCCTGTCATCGCACCGTTTCGGGACTCCAAACAGTCCCGAGGAAATGGCAAGGGTTTCGGGGGACCGCGAATGAACGCAGGGCATCGCATGTCTGGGTGGACGGTTGAGGTGGTCCGAAGAACCAGCCAACCATCTCATGCTCATGATTTCTCGGAGCCCCGCGCGAGTTTCCGGGAAATTGTGGATAGGCATCCCTCCCAAGGGCACCCAAGGGAACCCGGACTTTTTCGTTGGCCGCGCCCCGCTCGAAACACTTCGAAATGGGCGTACAAGGGCCTTGCATCCTTATCGCGCATCCTTACTCTGCGGGTTGACTGTAGGTATTTCTGGACCTTCAGATCCCCAGACCCCCCGTTCGAGCAGAGAGAAAATCACGATGGCAGGTTTTTCGTTCTGTGCGTCCTCCAGGAGCCCTCACCAGGCCTCGGGACTGTCAAAAGACGACTCGGGACGAGAAATCCGTCCCGGAGAAGGGATCGAGAATTCTGGGGATCGACGTGATACAAGACATCATGACGTCGGGGATATGGGAATCTGCTTCAAGCGCCTTCCTACTTCCAGAGTAATCATGTGTTTGCTGAGCTTTGTTGTATTCGGGCGGGCCCGAGCCCAATCAACTCTCTCCGCCCTCCTACTTCATGTTCTTACCACTTCTTCCGACCTCTTGGGCACAGCATCGCATAAAATCACGACGGGGGCCCCGGACCCCAGCTTCAGGCGACATTATTCCAGCTGGAGCGGTCTGCGAAGGGGCCGGAAACAACACAGAATCGCGCGTGGCAGCAAAAGTGCGACGCCAGGATCTCGGAGTATCCCTCCAGGATCCGACGTCAAGATTTGCTCCCAACCCTCCCTCCCTTGTTCCCTCGGTTGGGCTCTGTGGGGTCTCCATCCTCTGCTCCTCCTCGCCCCCACCCCGCGCTCCCCTCTCGGCTCTCTCCTCTCTCGCATCCCTCTTTTGGGCTGCGAAGTGCGAAACTGTCGCCATTCTCGAGGGCTGCTGGGGGAGCCAGCACAGTGGGATCCGACGTCAAGATGTTTGTCTCATGACGTGGACATCCTGGAGGCCATGCCCTGGCCCATCCCACGGGACCGCCTTTTCCTCCATCCCGAGCCCTTGTTGGACGCTCCTGGGGCCTCGCGTGAGGCCGACGACGATGGCACAAGTCCGCCTCGAAGTTCTCGAGGCGTTGGGTGTCTATCTAGGCCTCCTAGATGGGTCGGAGGATCGCGCCGCACCGCCGATGCATCAACGATGCATCGGCGCTGCGGCTCGATGTGGGGCCCAATCTTCTCCACGCCGACGCCGCCGATGCATCAGCGATGCATCAGCGATGCATCGCCGATGTATCGGCGATGCGGCGAGATCCTCCGACCCCATCTACTCTCAGGCGATCGCAAACATGGAGTGAGGGGGCGTGGATGAGCGACGGGCCCCGCTCCCATCGGAGAAATCGCGGATCCCCGCCGCCGAGCGAGGCGGCACCGGCAGCATTTTGGGGAGGGCACCTCCCCCGATCCATGAGATCTGGCGACCGCGCGCCAAATCCATGGATCGCCAATCCGTGTCTGCGCGCCCCCGATTCTGAGAAGGCCCGCCCCCCCTGACTTCGCCTGCCCTCTTGCGAGGAGGGGAAGGAGGAGGAGGAGGAGGCGGAGGAGGAGGAGGGAGGAGGAGGAGGAGGAGGGGGGAGGAGGGTGAGAGGGAGGAGGCGGAGGAGGAGGAGGAGGGGGAGGAGGAGGAGGAGGGGGAGGAGGAGGAGAGGAGGAGGAGGAGGAGGAGGAGGAGCTGGAGGAGGAGGAGGAGGAGGAGGAGGAGGAGGAGCAGGAGCAGGCGGCGGCGGCGGCGGCGGCGGCGGAGGGGGAGGAGGAGGACGATCGCTAGTCCATGCCTGCGCACCCCCCGGTGCTCGGGCCCCATCCAGGGGGCCTCCAATGTCTGGGCCCGCCCCGTGCCGAGAGGACAACGCCGCGGCGGCGGCCCTGTACGCCTCGGCCGGCTACGAGCGGTGCGGGCCGTCGGCCCTGGACTGCGGGCGTCGCCGAAGCGATCCCCAGCCTTGCGGCGTCGGGCGTGTCCCTCTACCTTGGCGTCGCTCGGACGTGTGCATTGTTCCTTCGGCGAGGACCATCGAGGAGCATCCTTGATCGTTTGGCGAAAAAGCCACGCTCGAAACCGACAAAACATATCCCGGCAAAGCAACCTAACAGCGATATGTAGAAGCATATCTGAAAGCATTCCCCTTAAGATTCAGATGAAAATCCAGTTGTAGAATTCTGCTGTTCTCGCAGTCGTAGTCGCATTCGCGATGACAGTCGCAGCGGCAACGGCAGTCGCAGTCACAGCCTCAGCCTCAGCCTGCCTCAGCCTCAGCCTCAGCCTGCCTCAGCCTCAGCCTGCCTCAGCCTCAGCCTCAGCCTGCTTCAGCCTCAGCCTCAGTCTGCCTTCAGCCTCGGCCTCAGCCTCAGCCTGCCTCAGCCTCAGCCTGCCTCAGCCTCAGCATCAGCCTGCCTCAGCATTCAAAATGTGGCCCGGGAATGGAGTTCTGGGAACTCGAAGAACACGAAGTGGCCTACAGTTGGCTCCGGGGCCCAGGAATGGAGTTCTGGGAAAAGAGCACGAAGTGGCCTACAGTTGGCTCCGGGCATCCAAAATGTGGCCCGGGAATGGAGTTCTGGGAATCGAAGAGCACGAAGTGGCCTACAGTTGGCTCCGGGCATCCAAAATGTGGCCCGGGAATGGAGTTCTGGGAACTCGAAGAGCACGAAGTGGCCTACAGTTGGCTCCGGGCACTCAAAATGTAGCCCGGGAATGGAGTTCTGGGAGGTCGAAGAGCACGAAGTGTGTGACTGTTGACGAAAAACGAGCCCGGCTCTGTTCCCGGTTCTCCAGAATGTGGCCCGGGAATGGAGTTCTGGGAGGTCGAAGAGCACGAAGTGTGTGACTGTTGGCGAAAAGCGAGCCCGGCTCTGTTCCCGGTTCTCCAGAATGTGGCCCGGGAATGGAGTTCTGGGAGGTCGAAGAGCACGAAGTGTGTGACTGTTGGCGAAAAACGATTCCCGGTTCTCCTCCCCGGCACCCGCCCAGACCCCCTTGAGGAGTCATCTGCTGCTCTCTTTTGACCCTACTAGAAACCTATCAGCAAAAGCTGTTAGGTAAAAACACCAGGAATGGACGTCCGAGCGATGGCGAGCTACGGGAGGGATAGTCAGAAAGAGCCCAACACATACCCCGGTGGCGATTCTTCTACGTTACAGGAGGAAGGTTCAAACATAGGCACCATACAGTACCCCTTCTACAGGAGGAAGATTCAAAGATAGTCCAGCAATGCCCAACAATACCCCTCTACAGGAGGAAAATTCAAACATTGTCACAAAACATATACTTCGATGGCGATTCTTCTATTATTTCTTTCAAACAAGGTTTGAGCATGTTCGGTGTATTGTTTATTATTCGTGCAAAGTCGGCCTGTGGGGGGACATGCCTGACCTAACCCTACAGTCAACCCGCACACAAAGGATGAGCAATTTTCCAAGGCTACCCCATGCGCCCTTGCCTCCTCGGCTCATCCTTAGCGGCTTTCGCTGGCCAACCTCGTTCGGAAAACGTTAACATGGCCATCCGAGGCCCTTGCCTTGCATCCTCACCGTGCAACCTCATTACACGGGGTTGACTGTACCATCTCGACTGCGCGTAAGAGCGACCCGTCGCCAGAGTGACCTCTGGTGCGGGCGCATTGGGCCCCCTCCCGATCGCCGAACGCGATGCGATAGTGGCATCTTGCGAGTTTGTGTTTGGTCCCCCCGCGGCCCCCAAAACGCCGCGCACCAAATGTCTCCCTCACCCTGGATCACCTGCGTGTAGCCGACCATCCCATCACCCCAGATGGGGATCTACCCTTCGAAACCCGAAGGGAACAGCTAATGTCTTGGCATCTCTCGGACGTGTGCGTTTTTCTTTGGCGTGGACCATTGAGGAGCGTCTGGGTCATCTTGTAAGACAATACATACACGAAATCGAAAAATGCACGGGGGATGAATGTCCGAGCGATGGCGAGATAGAGCAGTGGGGCCCGAACCCTATCCTCATCCCGAGCCCTACCATCTCGACTGCACGCAAGAGTGACCCTTCGCCAGAGTGACCTCTGGTGCGGGCCCATTGGGGCCTCCCCGATCGCTGAACGCGATGCGATGGTAGCGTCTTGCGCGCTTGTGTGTTGGTCCCCCTGCGGCCCCCCAAAACAGCCGCGCACCAAAGGTCTCCCCCACCCCGGGCCACCTGCGTGTGGCCGACCATCCCACCACCCCAGATGGCGATATACCGTATGAGATACCCTCCGAAGCCCGAAGGCAGCACCCCATATCCCCAGCCAGGGGGTACGTCGGCCAGTGAGACCCGGGCCACGCCAGTGGGGATAGCCAGCCACGCGCAGAGGGGGTCGGGGGGACGGAGGAAGGCTCTTTCGAAGCACCCCTGCCTCTCAGAAGGCGCGGGCCTCGTCTGCAGATGTGTGAGGCCAGCGCCTTCTGAGAGGCAGCCTCCTTGAGAGAGGCTTTCCTCCCTCCTTCTGCTCCCTTCTGCGCGCCGCCAAGATACAGCCGACCCGCACAGCAAGGCTGAGCGACTTGTTCCCAAGTGACCCCTTGGTATCGCTCGGACGTGTGCACTTTTTCTCGGCGGGGACTATTAAGGAGCATCCTGGATCATCCTGCGAAAAAAGCCACGCACGAACCCGAAAAAAGCGCAGGGAATGGACGTCCGAGCGACGGGGAGACCCTGGCATCCTCCCCCTCCGGCCCAGCCCTGGCCGCTCTCGCTGGCCGCGCCCCGCCTGCGCAGTGTCGGCACGGCCTTCAAGGCCCTCGCATCTGTTTCGCGCGCCCTTCTTCTGCGGGTGGATTGTACGAAGAGCACCGGCCCCTGCAGTGGAGACCCCTGCCAAGAAACACCCTGCTTGCCTCCGGGGTGCCCTGGGTTTCGTGGGCCTCGATGGTTTCGCACCGGAAAGCGGGGCGCGCCCACACCAAGAATCAAAGCACGTCCTGGGGTCTCAGGTTTGGGTTTCTTGCGGAAGGCTTCTTGTGGTCGAGCTCCCCATTGTAGTGCGCACCGCCAAGATGGGGATCGGACACGGATGTTCAGGACGACCTGCCGCTGAGCGACCTGCTCCAGGGCCGCTTGGGCAGGCGCTGGCGCAAGGCGCTGGCGCGCGCGGGCCGGCCGGCCGCCGCTGGCGCGGCGCCCGCCGTTGCGGCGCAGCCCGAGGCCCAGATCTCCGACGAGGCGGGCCGTTTTTCGGTATCGT